AAATCTACAGGCAGCATCATATTAAATGGGCAAAAGCTGGAAGGATTCCCCTTGAGAACAGAAACAAGACAAGAATGACAAGCGTCTCACCACTCCTATTCAACATAGTACTGAAAGTCCTAGCCAGAGCAATCAAGCAAGAGAAAAAAATAAAAGGCATCATTAGTAAAATGCAAATTAAAACCACGGTTGAGATACCATCTCATACCAGTTAGAATGGCGATCATTGAAAAGTCAGGAAACGGATGCTGGAGAGGATGTGGAGAAATAGGAATGCTTTTACACTGTTGGTGGGAATGTAAATTAGTTCAACCATTGTGAATGACAATGTGACAATTCCTCAAGAATCTAGAACTAGAAATACCATTTGACCCTGCAATCTCATTACTGTGTATATACCCAAAGAATTATGAATCATTCTACTATAAAGACACATGAACACATATGTTTATTGTAGCACTATTCACAATACCAAAGACTTTGAACCAACCCAAATGCCCATCAATGATTGAATGAATAAAGAAAATGTGGCACATATACACCATGGACTACTATGCACCATGGAATACTATAAAAAAGGGAAGCGTTTACATAGTTTGCAGGGACATGAGTGAAGCTAAAACCATCATTCTCAGCAAACTAATACAAGAACAGAAAACCAAATGCCACATGTTCTTACTCATAAGTGGGAGTTGAACAATAAGAACACATGGACAAAGGGAGGGGGACATCACACACCAGGGACTGTCAGGGGGTGGGGGATGAGGGGAGAGATAGCATTAGGAGAAATATCTAATAGATGACAGGGTGATGGATGCAGCATACGTAACATACCTGCATGTTCTGCACGTGTACTCCAGAACTTAAAGTACAAACAAAAATTAAACTATCTCTTTTTACTGATATGATTCTATGCCTAAAAACTTCTAAAGATTCAGCCAAAAGGCTCCTAAAACTGATAGACAACTTTAATAATGTTTCAGGTTACAAAATCAATGTACAAAAATCAGTAGCATTTCTATACACCAATAATGTCCAGACTGCAGGTAAAATCAAGAACACAATCCCACTTAAAATAGCCACAAAAAGGATGAGATATATGGAAATACAGCTAACGAAGGAGGTGAAAGAATCTCCACAAGGACAACTGCAAAACGCTGCTCAAGGAAATCAGAGATGACACAAATAAATGGAAAACCATTCCATGATCATGATCATGAATTAGAAGAATCAATACTGTAAACATGGCCATACTTCCCAAAGCAATTTACAGATTTAGAGCTATTCATATCAAACTATCAATATCATTTTTTACAGAATTAGAAAAACCTATTTTAAAATCTGGTTTCTATATGAAACCAAAAAAGACCCTAGCCAAGGCGATCCTAAGCAAAAAGAACAAAGCCAGAGGCACATTACCCAATGTTTAAACTATACTACAGGGCTATCGTAACCCAAAGAGCGTGCTCCTGGTACAAAAATGGACACATAGACCTACGGAACAGAATGGAGAGCCCAGAAATAAGGCCGCACACCTACAACTATCTGATGTTTGACAAAGCTGACAAAAACAAGCAATTCGGGAAGCACTCACTATCTAATAAATGGTGCTGGGATAACTAGCCCAGCCAGATGGAGAAGATTGAAGCTGGAACTCCACCTTTCACCATATACAAAAATTAACTCAAAATTGATCAACGATTTAAATGTAAGACCTCAAACTCTAGAAATTCTAGAAGACAACTTGGAAAATACTCTTCTTGACATCAGCCTTGACAAAGAATTTTTGCCTAAGTTCCCAAAAGCAATTGCCACAAAAACAAAAATAGACAAGTGGAACCTAACTAAAGAGTTTCTGCACAGCAAAAGAAATTATTAATAGTAAATACACAACCTATGGAATAGGAGAAGGTATTCAGCAACCAAGAACTAATATCCAGAATCTATAGGGAACTTAAACAAATCAACAATCAAAAAACAAATAACCCCATTAAAACATAGGCAAAGGACATGCACAGCAGTTCTCAAAAGAAGACATACAAGCAGCCAACAAACATTAAAAAATTCTCAATATCATTAATTGAAGAAAAGCAAATCAAAACCACAATGAAATACCATCTCTCACCAGGCAGAATGGCTATTACTAAAAAGTGAAAAAATAATGGATGCTGGTGAGTCTGTGGAGAAAATTAAATGCTTATACACTTTTGGTGGGAATGTAAATTAGTCCAGCCACTGTGGAAAGCAGTCTGGAGATTTCTCAAAGAATTTAAAACAGCTGTCATTTGACCCCACAATTTTATTACTGGGTATACACCCAAAGGAAAATAAACTATTCTACCAAAAAGATTCATGCACTATATGTTTATCACTGTGCTACTCACAATAGCAAAGACATGGAATACACCCAATTGGCCATCAATGGTAGATTGGGTGAAGAAAATGTTTATATATATATATATACACACACACACAATGGAATACTATGCAGTCATAAGAAACATGCAATCGTGTCCTTTGCAGCAACATGGATGCAGTTGGAGGCCATAATTCTAAGCAAATTAATGCAGGAACAGAAAACCAAACACCACATGTTCTTACTCGTAAGTGGGAGGTAAACACTGAACACACATAGACATAAATATCAGAATAATAGACAATATAGACATGAGAAGGGGTAGAAAGGAGGGAAAATGGGTTGAAAAACTACCTATTGGATACCATGATCACTAGTTGGCTGATGGAATCTGTACCCCAAACATCAGCATCATGCAATATTCCCATGTAGCAAACCTGTATGTGTATCCCTGCATCTAAAATAAAAGTTGAAATTAAAAATAAATGTTAACTAATATTTATTGAAAGCACACTGTTTTATTTATTGAGGGTATACCCATATTTATTAAGGGCCCTGTGTCAGACTATATATATTTCCCCCAATGCCTCTGAGTCAGGTAATATTGGTTTCTTCATTTTACAGATGAGGAAACTATTTATTATTTATTAGGGGCCCTGTGTCAGGCTATATATATATATATATATATATATATATATATACACAAATATAAATAGATAGATTAGATAGATAGATAGATAGATAGATAGATAGATAGATGATAGATAGATAGATAGATAATTTCCTCCAGTGCCTCTGAGTCAGGTAATATTAGTTTCCTCATTTTACAGATGACAAAAATCAGTCACAGTGTCTTGCCCCAGGTCTTATGGCTAGCAAACAGGAGAGCTGGATTCTGAACACAGCCAGGCTCCAGAACTTAAAAATGCTATGCAATATTGCCTAGTAGTTGCAGAACTTAAATAATAGTATGATTACATAGTGTTATACAATATTTCATAGTATTATGCAGAACTGAAAAATGCTATCACAATTTCACTATGTTGTGATAGTCATTGCATATTCTCATCTCTTCTGGCTGTAGGCTTCTGAATGGGTGGAAATGAGTTGCATTGCATCTCCTGCCTTTGGTACAGAGTCCTGCTCATGATAGAAAACATGCTCAAAAGAGCTAGAAAGACAGAGAGGAATGGGATGACACCTGCATTCTGGCAGATGTTCTTAAAATTCTGGAAACCCAAGAAGCAGTTGGCCAGTCACAGCCTGTGTACACATGTGCTTGACCACACCCTCTATTCCTCTCCAGTCAGAGCTTAAACATCTTTTCATGGAGCTCTGCTGTGGAAAGGCTAGAAATACATTCTACTCTCTCTAAAAGCAAGAACTAAAAATACACAAATTAGCCAAGCGTGGTGGCAGGCACCTATAATCTCAGTTACTTGGGAGGCTGAGGCAGAAGAATTGCTGGAACCCGGGAGGCAGAAGTTGCAGTGAGCAGAGATCACACCATTGCACTCCAGCCTGGATGACAACAGCGAGACTCCGTCCCAAAATAATAATAATAATAGTCATCATCATCATCACCCACAGGAATTATTCTCCAGTGTAAGAATGGGGACACTTTGATACACCTAGGAGAGGGATCTTAGACTCAGGACAGGTTATATGCAAAAGAGAGTTTATAGCCTTAAAGGGTATAGGATCCAGCCTACTGCTGGGAAAGCAAAAGCTGGAGACACCCCAAGATGACACAGTGGTCCACCAAATGTTCACCCTTGTTTTCTGTGGCTCTAACTCCAGGCTGCTGAATCTCAGGAATGGTTGTTTTTCACACTGCCCTTTCAAATTATAGCGCCTTTGCTGCCTCCATCTAAAAACTGGCTTTACCACCATCTCATAGACTTTTACATTCTGATGTCCCATTTCAGAGACATTTCTTTGAAACAGAGCCAGCCCTTCCAGTAAGCATATATAACAGAATGGTGATTTCAGAGACTAGGGCCTGGTGGAAACAAATCCCAGACATGTAAAATTTGACACCTTAACCGACATAAGTGCCTACATTCCCTCCAAGTTCCCACTCCCTGCCTCACCCCACCTTCAACATTCCCATAATTTTATTCTGCGGAAAACCACAACCAGCACTTACCACCGGAGTCCAAATTCCCTGGCAGCAGCCTTGCTTTCTAAAGGGAGACGTGAAAAAAAAATTGTCAAGACCTATGGGGCTTTCTAACACATTAAAAAGGCCCTCAAAAACTGTGTTACACCAAGTATAATATTATCTTTTTCTTTAAGAGATTTGTTAATTGGTTCCATGCAAAAGGTTTGCAGGTAATGGGTTTTAAATAAATAATAATGTTCCACCACCCTGACTGGCCAAGAAAGTAAATGCCTTTTTCCTGACTTGGGTGAGCACTGGGATGGTAAAAGGGCCTGTGTAAAAATTTTGGCCTTACTGTAAAAAGGCAAGACCTCAATTTTGGGGCTCAGATGTAATCAACCATGTTTAGTTTCAGTAATTTGGTTGCAACAATTACATGGCAAGCATAGTGCTAGGTATTGGTGAGATGGAGATGACAGACTATATAACTGAATGCTTGGAAAAATTAAGTTAAATTTATTAATAATTAACAACTTAATTAATATTGAATAAGTGAAGTTTTTTTGGGCTTTAGTCTTCCTGAGCTCCTCACAGTTTCAAAAATATAGCATACCTTTCCGGTCTTCAAGGGGTTTCTAATGCAGATCTCTCATCTGGAATGCCTCTCTTCCTTTTTGTCCAGAAGGTAGTCAGTGCAGCTCATCAGAAATTTTCTGATTGTCTTCCTTCCAGACACCTCGCTATGCTTTTGAACTCAATTGTTGCCATGGCTTGATTGAGCCAATGAAAATAACTGAAAACAATGTTTGTCTCTTCTGGCAAAAGGTGAGAGCCAATGCCTACTTTTGTTTCATTCTCTCTCTTCCTCTTGTCACTTTCCAGATGGTAGAGGCCCTACCAGCCTGGGTCCTGGAGTAAAGAAACATAAAGTAACACTCCCAAATTACCCATAACAGACATGGAATATGGAAGAAATAAATATTATTATCTCAAGTTCTGAGAGCTGTTTGTTACACAGCATACCATGACCTAGATTAACTGATAACCCCTCATCTATTTACCGTTTACGTAACTCTAATCATCCTTCAGCTCTCTTCTTCATGGTTACTTCACAAGAGAAGACTTTACTGCTCACCTTTTGAACAGTAAAATCTTCTTTTGTGAAGTAACCATGAAACAAAGAGCTTCATAAGATGCCAACGAGTTCATTTCAACAGTTTCTGATGCTTCCTCAATATAATGCTTATCATGTTATTAAGATTAAGATTGTTAGTTTATTTATTTATAGCCTATGGAAGGTTGTGAGCTCCTTGACAAAAGAGTCTAAGCCTCATATACAATCTTATCTTTAGTATGTAATGTAGTACCTGATATAAGATGCTATGGTTTGAATGTATGTGCCCCTCCAAAACTCATTTTGAAACTTAATCTCCAATACAACACTAGTAAAAGGTGAGGCCTTTTGGGTTTGATTAGGCCATGAGGACTCTGCCCTCATAGATGAGATTAGCAACCTTATAAAAAGACCAGAGGGAACTAGCAAGTCCCTTCTGTCCTTCTACCTCTTCTCTAAAGGACACAGAGTTCATCCTTTTTTGTCCCCTTCCACTGCAGTGAGGGCATAATAAGAAAGCTCTGTCTTGGAAGGAGAGAGTAGCTTTCACCAGACACAGAATCTAATGGTACCTTAATCTTGGAATTTCCAGACCATATAACTGTGAATAATAAATGCATACAGTTTACAAATTATTCAGTCTCTGATACTTTATTATAGCAGCACAAATGAATAAGACAGAAATTGGTACCAGGAAGTGTGGTGTTCCTATAACAAATACCTGAAAAATGTGAAAGTGACTTGAAATTGGGTAATGTGTAGAGACTGGAAGAGTTTGGAGAATCAGTCTAGAAAATTAGCCTGTATTTTCATTAATAGAGAATAAGTAACTCTGGTAAGACCTCAAATGAAAAGAGCTGCAGAGAGAACTTAAATCTTCTTAGAGACTAAGAGGTTGTAAACAGAATGTTCATAAAGATACATACAGACAGTGAAGGCAATCCTGATGAGGCCTTAGGTGGAAATGTAGAAAAGGCATTGGAAACTGTAGAAAAGGTCATCCTCGTTATAAGTTGGCAAAGAACTTGGCTGAATAGTGCCCATCTTCTAATGTTTTGTGAAAGGAAAACTTATAAGTGATATACTAGGGTATTTGGCAGAAGACATCTCTGAACAAAGTGCTGAGAGTGCTGCATGACTGCTTATAGGAAAAGGTGAAAAGAGAGGAACAACTTAAAGACAGAATTTATAATCAAAAGGGAAGCAGATCTTAAAGAGTTGGAAAATTCTCAGCCTGACCATGTAAAACATGGAAAGCCACTGTTCTGGAGAGAATCCTAAGGGTGTGGCCAAGTGACTCTTTGACAAATAAATGAGTATACATAGAAGGAAGCCAAGTGCTGTTCCAGCAAGACAATGGAAGAATGATCCCAAAGTCATTTCAAAGACCTTGGAGGCAGCCACTCTCACCACAGGCCCAGAGTGCCAGAGCCCTGAAGGCAGAACAACTTCATAGGTGGCACCATCAGGCTTCACTACTCAGGACTGCCTCCAGCTTCTGCTCCACTCATTCTGGCCCAACAATCTCTATCTGTCCCAGCTGTAGCTTCCCAAGTGCACCCAGGCGTGGTTCAAACCGCTAGTCCAGAGAGCATGAGGCACACCGTGGCAGCATCCATGTGGTGCTAACTCAGCAAATGCTCAGACCACATGAACTAAGCATGCATGGCTATCTCCACCTCTGCTTAAAATGATGCTTAGAAGAGCCTCGGGGCATAGGCAGAGAACTGTCACAGGGGCAGGGCTACCACAGAGAGCCCCTACTAGGGTAATGTTTAGTGGAGCCATGGGGGCAGGGCCACTCCTGAGACCCCCAACCTATAGAGCCGGCATGTAATACCAGCCTGGAAGAATGACAGGTCTGTGACTCCAATCTGTGAAGGCGGCAGCATTAAGCCGTGCCTAACAAAGTCATCGGGATGAGGCTGCCCAGAGTCTTGCAGGGACCAACCCATATCCCAGTGTGTCAAGAAGTCCGGAATGGAGTCAAATAAAATCATTTTCAGTCCTCAAGATCTGAGTGTTATTTGCCTTGTTGGGTTTTGAATGGGCATGGGTCCTATTACTCCTCTCTCTTTCCTAATTTTTCCCTTTGGGAATGGAAATGTCTATACTATGCCTGTCCTGCAATTGCATTTGAAGCACATAACAAGACGTATTCATTCTATCCCAATAGCTCCAAAGTCTTAATTCATCTAGCATCAGCTTTAATCGAGAGTCTCTTCTAAGTATCATCTAAATCAGATATGGGGGAATTCTCTTCCAGCAGAGTCTATGAAATTTGGCAAGATACAGATATCTATATGTCCATAAATGTAACCATAACTATCTGTTGGATTCACTCTCTAACCGCTTCTATCAAGTTACTGTGCTAAAACTTCTAACTTAGTGCTCATTAGTGTTCACACACACACACTTGCTGCTAGATTTTATTCTCCTGCTGCTAGATTAGGGTACCTAAGGCAAGATATACCTATCTTAGAGTTTGCACATCATCTACATAACTGAACATAAAATTAAAGCCAAATGGGGGAAAAGGGAAGTTGACTGTTTTATGATCATTGTCTTACCTGAAACAATTAGGAAGCCACTGTTCAGCTTTGCACCTTATGTAATTGTCATATATCATGAATGGCTGATAAATGTTTGAATCTGTGAGGTTTTCCCATAGAGGAAAGGAAAATGCTGATTCTCACTTTAGCTAATAGCAGTTGTCTCTAACTCACCCACACTGTCGAGGAGAACTTAAGAACTATTTTACAGTGCTCTTTTCCTTATTTATTTATTTATTTATTTAGAGACAGAGTCACACTCTGTCACCCAGGCTGGGGTGCAGTGGTGATCTCGCCTTACTGCAACCTCCATTTCCTGGGTTCAGGCGATCCTCCTGTCTCAACCTCCATAATAGCTGGGATTATAGGCATACACCACCACGCCCAGCTAATTGTTGTATTTTTAGAAGATATGAGGTTTTGCCATGTTGGCCAGGCTGGTCTCGAACTCCTGGTCTCAAGTGATCCACCCACCTTGGCCTCCCAAAGTGCTGGAATCACAAGCATGAGCCACCGCACCTGGCCTTTAATAACTATTTTATTTCCAATGCAGAATGGAACCTCAACATCATCATGGATGAGTTCCAGATTCATCAAACTTTAGGCCTACATTGGACATCAGACACAATCTAACTGAACTCCTTCACTGTAGACATGTGGGAAAGGAGGCCCAAGAAAGGAACAGGACTTGCCCAAGACCACACAACTAGTTAATGGAGAACAAGAGACAATACTCGTGTGTCCCAACCATCATGCCAGTGGGCTCTGCAGGTCCACACTGTCTGAGAGCTTCACGATCAACTTCATGGTGACGACCCAATGCTGCCCTTCAAAAGGGATCGGTACCTGGGCAATCTGATAATAAATTCATTAGAGGTGAAATAAATGCTTATAAAAGGGAAAGTGGAGACAAATTCTACTGCTTGATTCAGAGAAAGCGCTTTATTGGATCTAAAGTGTTCATAAACCTCTATAATTTGAAAATTGAACAGCCCAGTTTTCTATGAACAAGAGCAAAAACAGGGTCAGGAGTTAGGAAAATTGTAAAGATGGAATGTGACGTTGCTGTTTTCCCAATCTTTACCTACAAAACCCCTCCTTGCTCTCTTCTATTCTATTAAATCCTAGTCCCAGATTCTTCATTTACACTAAGGTGTAAATGACTGACAGCAAAATGGCCACATTCAGGGACATTTGGAGACGTGATGACATTGTGATTATTGACCTATCACATTGGGGTAATCAGAGCCAGAGAGAAGACATGGAGTCTGAAAAGAAAAGCTGTTCCCACGACAAAGAATTACCCAGCCCCAAATGTCCGTAGTGTAGAGGTTGAGATATCCTGCTCTGGGTTACAGAAAGTTGCATAAATTCCTAGCATGAATCATCAGGTGAGCACCTTGAGAGCAATCTGCCATCTCCATAACATTGTACCATTGCCTTTTTTCCAAAAAAGGAAGGGTACAACCAAACCATGCTTACGACCAGCCTCAGCCTCCCATCAGCTGGCACCCTTAGCATCCTGGCCCCTGTGTGTTTGCACAGTGCCTGCTGCACACATTCACTATGTACCTCTCAACTTCACAATAATTCAGGGAAAGGAGAGCGTATTATTACTCATACCCCACATATGAGAAAACAAAGAAGGAGGCAATTTACCAGATTTTCACAGGGAGAAAGAGAAAGGGTCAGAATTCTAATCCAGATTGATTCTAGCTCCAAAAACTAAGCTCTCCACACTGTTACACTTCAGACAGAAGTACAGATTATGCAACACTGACTATTTTAAGAAATATCCAGGGGTGGAGCAACAGCACAGGTGTCATCCAATGCGGTTTGTGGAGAGCAGGTATTCCGAGGCAAATCGCAGGGCGAGGCATTTCTTCCTAGGCTGGGTATGATAGGTGCAATAATGGCTCCCCCAAAGATGTCCACTTCTTTTTTTTTTTTTTTTTTTGTTGTTGTTGTTGTTGTTGTTGTTGTTGTTGAAATGGAGTTTCGCTCTTGTTACCCAGGCTGGAGTGCAATGGCGCAATCTCGACTCACCGCAACCTCCACCTCCTGGGTTCAGGCAATTCTCCTGCCTCAGCCTCCTGAGTAGCTGGGATTACAGGCACGCGCCACCATGCCCAGCTAATTTTTTGTATTTTTAGTAGAGATGGGGTTTCACCATGTTGACCAGGATGGTCTCGATCTCTTGACCTCGTGATCCACCCACCTCGGCTTCCCAAAGTGCTGGGATT